CTCACACACACACACACACACACAAACTCTCTCTCTCTCTCTCTCTCTCTCTCTCTCTCTCTCTGTGTTTTAGGATGAATTAAAAAAAACAAGTCTCTGATGGTACTCAGACGGTTTTTGGGAGTAATGATGTATTGACTTTGGCTTTGGGAACCCCCGAGAATGGTGGGAGAGTCAGAGGTCCCAATCAATACTTCAATTTACCCAAACAACACTGAATAAAGTTTGCCGATAAACTGAAAGAAAGTGTTCTAGAGGCCATAAGAGAAGAGAGTTTGAGGATGGAGGCTAGAACCAAGGAATTGCTACAAGATGAGGGGGAATATATGTTGAAACAATTCAGCCAACTAATTCCCAATTTTGATCCCAGCATGCTCAAACATCCAATACCCCAATTCCAATACTGTCTCAAGAGCAAAGTCCCAAAAATCCAATGTCTGACAAAGCAAGCTGCTCAGGTGCCACGAATGTGAGACCCCTTGTTTTGGGGAATGAAAATCCCAAGCTTGATCCTGCTGAAGAACATCAAGATGAAATGGTAAATTCTCTGAAATTTTCGTTTTTCTGCTTTTTTAAATTTTAATTAGATGTCGTTATTTTTTGTCTCCGACATTAGAAATGTCAAACAACGTATGTACATATTTACCGTCGTTTGAAATTTTGGAGTACGTCGATATTGGCATGAAACTGTCGTTGTGAATGAAATACCATGAAAATTTAGATGATTGAGTTAGACGACGGTTTTGTTTTACTTGATTTACAAGGTATCTTCACTACATTTTTTATTTTATTTAGACGATGGTTTTTTTGCTTTGCGACATTAGTGTTGACGTGAGTCTCCTAAATCAAGGAGATTTATTTCCTTGATTAATTAAGGGATTTACTTTCTTATTTTATATAGTTGACAAATCATTGTATAATTAGGAGATACTATCCTAATTCATTACTGTATCTATTTCCTTGTAAAGCACGTATGGAAACTCCTATATATACCTCCATATGGAGAAGAATAAGACTTAACCTAAAGTATTCAAACCTTATTCATATTTTTGCATGGTATTAGAGCAATCAATCCTAGGTTGTCTCTAAACCTTCATATCAATGTCTCATATTCAAATCCAAAACCCTAAATCAAATTCCTTATATTTAAAATCCTCTTATCAAAATCCCTAAACACATACCCTCAAATCTTATATACATACCTCTCAAATCAAATCCTCTTATCAAATTCCTACATCAAATTCATACATAATATTCCTCAAATCACATTCCATCAATCACATTCCTCACATTCTCATATCACATCTTACTTCCGCTGCGATGTCAGGACCCCCTACGATTCTCTCCCTTATTGCAGACTCAGAGAAGCATGCGGTCAATCCTGCTGACCCGGTTACCTGGACTCGTGCTTCTATTGCCACCACCAAAGATTCTGCTTTTCATACGTCCTCTCAAAAATCCGCATGAATTATTGACTCGGGTGCTACGAATCACATGACATTTGATCCTGGCCAACTTATTAGTCTCAAATCATCCACTCTGTTAGTGGTGTCTAATGCTAATGGTACCCCCTCCCCTGTGGTTGGGGAGGGCTCTCTATCTCTCTCTACTTCCCTACATCAGGATTCTGTATTGCTTGTTCCATCTTTGGACTGTAACTTGTTGTTTGTTGCACAACTTACTACTACTCTGGGGTGTACTGTAACATTTTGGCCGAATCACTGTGTTTTTTAGGACATCCTCACGGGAAAGACTATTGGTTATGATACTCGGCAGGGCAAACTCTACTACTTGGACTAGGCACCAGATAGTGAGACCAAGATTGGTCAAGCTTTCACAACGAGTGGAACTCGTTCTGAGGGGGAGAGAGACAAAGTTTGTTTCCATCATTATTTTCCAGTCTTGATGTTTCCAGCTTCTAGTGTGATATGTGTGAATTGGCTAAGAGCCATCGCGTCCCGTTCCAGTTAAGTTCAAATAAGAGTTTGGTTCCGTTTACTCTTATTCATTATGATGTTTGGGGACTTGCTAAAATTGCCACTCCGATAGGAGCTCGATGGTTTGTCACGTTTGGAGATAATCTGCACACGCATGACTTGGGTTTCCCTTCTCAAAACTAAAGGGGAAGTCAGTTTCAGGTTTCAACAGTTCCATCAAATGGTGGAGACTTAGTTTTATGCCAGAATTCAGGTTCTTCTTTCTGACAATGGCAGAGAATTTCTCAACTATCATCTTAACTAGTTCTTACAAGATCATGGCATCATACATCAACTCTCATGCCCCTACAGTCCCCAACAGAATGGAGTGAAAGAACAGACATTTATTGGAAGTAGTTCATGCCTCTCTCTTTGGTGCCAATATGCCTCGATCTTTTTGGGGAGAAGCCGTCGTCTCTGTAGCATACCTCATCAATCGGATTCCCTCTAGTATCCTAAATTTCCAAACACCACTTCGAACACTTCATCACCATATCCAAACATCTCCCACTCCCAACCTGGAACTCCAGATTTTCTGTTATGTTGTATTTGTCCACTTACATGATCACCAACGAAGCAAATTGGATCATTGAGCCGAAAAGTGTGTTTTCATTGGCTATGCACCTCATCAAAAAGGATACCAGTGTTATCATCCTCCTAGTCAGAAGGTCTATACCTCCATGGATGTTGTGCTCTAGGAACACGACTTATATTTTTTAGCAGCACAGGAGGTGAATCAAGAATCAACCACCCCTCAAATTCTCAATTTTTTTCCTCAGGACATCACTCTGCTTCAAAATGAACGGTCGCCCCCATTAGTTCTTCGAACACAAAGAACCTGCTTCAAAACGACCGGTTGCCAAAAGATAGCAACTAGTTGCTTGAGGAAAATGATCAGTTGTCTCCATGCTGTCAAACTCAAGAGGAAATTGAACCGTTTTATGAGATTTTGTCCACTTCGGAGAATTCTTCAGCTCCAGTACCACACCAATCATCTGCTGAGGAAGTCAATCAGGTACCATCTTTACCTGAAAAAAATAACACTAATGAAATATCCCATGATAATTTGATTTCAGAAGGCACAAAGCCTACATATCAGCTTCCAAAAAAGAAGAATCGTGGCAAACCTCAAGTACAATATGAAGCAGATCTTAAAGCCAAAGGGAAATACCCTATCAATAATTATATATCTCTCAGCAGATTATCAGAGGCACGTATGCACTTTGTGAAACAGTTGGCTGAAACAGTAGCCAAGATTAACACTATCAGAGTCCTTTTGTCTCTAGCGGCAAATCTCGATTGGCCATTACATTAGTTTAATGTAAAAAATGCATTCTTACATGGAGACTTGGAAGAAGAAGTATATATGGACCTACCACTAGGATGTAATTTAGCTCGTGACAAGAAGAATCACATTTGCAAGCTCAGAAAGTCATTATATGGATTAAGCCAATCCCAAAGCATGGTTTGGCAGATTTACTAAATCTATGAAGAATTTTGGATATACACAGAGTAATTCAGATCACACCCTGTTCGTGAAGCGTGATGGAAGAAGACTTACTGCATTGATTGTTTATGAAGATGATATAGTCGTAACTGGAAACGACATCGAAGAGCAACTAAAGTTGCAAAAGTATTTGTCTTGAAATTTGAGGTGAAGGATTTAGGTGATTTGAAATACTTTCTCGAAATTGAGGTAGCAAGGTCAAAAACTGGTATATTTTTGTCCCAAAGGAAGTATGTAATGGATCTACTCACTGAAGCAAGAATGCTTGGGTGTAAGTCAGCTGACACACCCATTGAGATGAATCACAAGCTATGTGAAGACATGGAAAAAAGAACCAACTAATAAGGAATAGTACGACCCTTGATTTTCAAGGCGCCGGAGCACCATCTTTGTTACTCTTTCATTCATCCCATATATCATACGATCGTCGCTCCCTGAGCAACGCGCCAGAGCAACGCCCAAAATCCACCATCAACACCACCAATAAACGGCCTTGTAGCTCAGGCCGTGAACCTGACGGCCTAGATCAGTTCCTCTCTCGGCCACAATCGTTTGATTAGAAGTCGAACCCAAACAGGTGCACCACTTAACCATTTCATCTACATCACCATCTCGACGCACGGTAGACTGTGCTGGCACGCCCGGGCACAACCGCACCGCATCCAAAAGAAGGAAGCCACGTGTTAAACGCATATCCCCTCAGCCCGGAGCTCCAGGCCGTGAGATTTGCGCAGCCAACACTTGGTATCGATTTTGAGAGTAGGGGAGGCGAAGTGAGGTAGGTCTTCAAGCTCTGAAAGGCTACTTTGCACTCTTCGTCCCACTTGTCTGTTTGCCCTTTCTTCAAGGCTTTGAAGAATGGCATGCATTTATCGGTAGATTTCGAGAGGAATCGGTTGAGAGATGCTACTCTACTTGTTAGACTTTGTATCTCCTTGGTTGTGGCAGGCGACTTCATGTTGAGTATGGCCTTGATTTGATTTGGATGTGCCTCAATCCCTCTTTGGGTGACTAAATATCCCAGGAATCGGCCGGATGAGACTCCAAATGTGCATTTGCTCAGGTTCAACTTTATGTTATATTTTTGGAGTAAGTTGAATGCTTCGGCAAGGTTTTCGATGTGGTTTGCTCGCTGGGGAGCTTTGAACAGCATGTCATCCATGTAGACCTTCATAGTCTTGCCGATTTACTCTTTGAAAATTTTGTTCACTAGCCTTTGGTAAGTTACCCCCGGCGTTCTTCAATCCAAATGGCATGACTTTGTAGTAGTATGTACCCCTTTCGATGATGAAGGAGGTCTTTGCTTTGTCATCTTCTTGCATCGGGATTTGATTATAATCGGAGTATGCATCCATGAAGCTGAGTAGCTGATTGCTGGAAGTTGAATCGACGTGTTGATCAATTCTTGGCAGTGGAAAGTTGTTTTTAGGGCATGCCTTGTTGAGATTGGTGTAGTCGATGCAAACTCTCCGCATGCCTTGATCTTTCTTTGCTACTAGAACAACATTTACCAGCCATTATGTGTAAGAGACTTCTTCAATGAAACCAGCAACTAGGAGCTTATCGATCTCGACCTCAATGATTGCAACTCGCTCGAGAGCAAAGTTGCGTCTCTTCTGCGCTACTTGCTTGATAGCTAGGTTGACGTGAAGGCAATGATAGATCATCTGGGGATCGATGCCTAACATATCGGATGACGACCATGTGAATACGTTTTTGTTGTTCTGGAAGAAGGCTGCAAGCTCTACCTTCTCTTCCTGGCTTAGGCACAAGCCGATCAATGTTTTTCTCTCTAGCTTGTCAGGATCAAGTGGTACTAGCTCGAAGTCCTCTTCGGGCTTCCATCCTTCTTCAGGAAAGACCTTTGGACGGATTCCCTTGACTTGGTCCTGATGCTTTGATTGTTATTGGGGAGTAGCTATTCCCTTTCCTTTCTAGCCTGCTCGGCCGGCAAGAGTGAGATCCGCTTGTTCTACTCCCTTCAAATCTGCCTGATTCATAGGGAGGAACTGTGTTTGCTTGCTTTTCTTCAACCCTTAAGCGGTGCATTTCCTCACCATTGCCTAATCGCTATTGATCTGACCGACACCACCCCAGGGATTAGGTAGCAGATTTTCTTATGCGTGGTGGAGATGACATCATTGATCTTGCCAATCCATGGTCTGTTTAAAATGCTTTTGTAGGGGGAGACTTCATCATTGACCATGAAGGTTTGTGAGATGATCAATGGTGGAGAGTAGACGTCGAGGTCTATCGTGCCCACGGTAACAGTAGTTGCGCCATTGAAGCCAGTTAGCGACCTGGCTGATTTGTTGATCTTCGTCTCCAAGCCCATCTATTGGATGACTGCCAGTTGCAGGATATTGGTTGTGTTGCCCTCGTCTGCATGGATTCGGTCGACCATGGTCTGAGCAATTTGAATGCTGATGACAAGGGCATTGTTGTGTGGCAGATCGAGGCCAATTAGATCTTTCTTTTGGAAGCCGATCATGGGATTGTCTTCTGCTGTTGGAGGCTGGTCGAGATTTGGGAGATCACAATGGCTTGTTTGATCTTCCAAATCTTTTCTTTACTGGTCAGCTCGGACTCCTATGAGTCGGCCAGGATCAGGTTAATCCTTATGACCTTTTGAGGTGGCTCCTTAGTGGTGTCGCAATCCTCAATCTGCAGGATGGCCTGCTTCGCAATGAATTCTGTGCAGTGGCCTTCTCTCACCAGCTTTTCGAGGTTCTTTTTCCAGGCAAAGCAACCATTCGTGTAGTGACCGAATCCTCCATGGAAGGCACAGTATTTATGGGCATTCTTCTTATCCGGGTCCCCTCTTAGAGGCGGTGGTCTCCTCACCCAAGGTTTGTCTTTCACTTGGGCTAGGATCTGATGTATGGGGATGGAAAACTTAGTGAAGTTCTCATCTGCCCGAGGGTCTCCATGGGACTTTCGCTTGGCACTGTTCTTGTGGCTGAATTTGTCGCCTCTCTAACCTGCCTGTTTGGCTAGTTGGTCAGCTTGCCTGGTAGACTTCTTTGCAGCAATTCAGTCATCATCCCAGAGTGCATAGCGTTCGGCGGTCGCAAAGACCTTTGCCAGAGTCTAGCTGAGAGTGATAGTCAGCTCGCAGTATAAGTCGTGCTCAGCTGGAAGACTTTTCTTGAAAGCAGAGGACGCAATTTAGTCATTGCACTCAATAATGTTTGCCTTTTCTTCTTTGAATCTCTTGATGTAATCTCATAGGGATTCATTGGACTTCTTGTGCAAGTTGAACAGGTGGCTATGATTCTTCTCGATCGTCCAGTAAGAAGTGTATTCCTTGGTGAAGACATAAGCTAGCTCATTGAAGCTGCTAATCGACTTGGATGGCAGAGTGTGGAACCAATCTTAGGTTGCTCCTCGTAAGGTCATTGCAAACACCTTGCACATTAGCGTGTCTTCGGCCTTGTAGAAAATCATAATGCTCTTGAAGTGCTTCAAATGGCTCTCGGGATCGAAATCCCCTTTGAAGTGTGTGAAAGAGGGCATTGAGAATCGCTTTGGGGGAGCAACCCACTCGATTTCGACGGTGAATAGTGAGGAGTTTGCTTGATCGACTTCCCTACACAGAGCATCTTCGAAACCTTCTCTGATCTTCAAATCTCGAAGCCGATTATTCACAAGTTTCTCGACATCCTCTGCGTGCACGGCTTGAGGGTCACGTGGATGAGCTTCATGATTTGGGTGATACTAATTGACTTCTTCGTTGTCTTGCAAGGGTCGACCTCCTTGATTGTCCTGCCCAAGGGGCAGTTTAGTATATTGAGCTTGCAAGGATTCCTCCATGACTTGTCGTCGTGAGTTGGTTCTCGAGTGGGTTGGTGAGCGTCGATCGTTGTGTTCGCCATGCAATTGTTCACAAACTCGTGCTCTTTGTGGGCCCAGTCTATAATGGATACTTTCTTGTGGGCCCAAGGGAGCATGGACGTTGGACTGTGGGCCCAACCTCTCGTGCACATTGGTCCTTGGACCTATCCTCGAACGGATCGTCGACCGGCTCGGAGTACAGCCTGCAGATGTCTGCGTCTCTTCAGCATGATCTCGTTCTCTCCCCTGCCCGTTTGTCTCTGTCCAACTAGTCTAGGATCTCTCAAAATGCTCGCTGGTACGCTTGCGCGTCCATCTCTCTTCGTCACGAGATCCAAGGTCAGGGCCTTGATTCAAGTTGATTTGCCTGAGTAGCTGGCCAATTAGATTGTTTTTGTCATCGACCCTCTGTGTGAGTTGATTGACTCATGAGTTAAGGCCCACTTGACTGCATAGGTCGGGAAGAGAGGTGTGGATTGAGCCCAACGGCATATGGGCTAAGGCTCCATTAGATGCGCACACGGGTGCATACGTCAAGTGTGGTTGCAAAGGAGGGAGTGAATGAATTTGTTCCAAGACTGGAGAATGGCCCAACAAAGCATTGAGGAAGCTAGGAATGGCAGTACCGTTATGGGTGGCGGCGCTAGCGCCTAGGACTTGCGTTTGCACGACGAAGGAGGCCATGGGGCAGTGGCTTGGTGTGGCCGCGAGTGGTGTTGCAATTCCAGCCGCTATTTGGTAGTTCACGGAGGTGATTCGCTACTGCGAGGAGTTGGCCTCATAGTTTGGCGGCTGACCGGCTGCTACAATAGCTGTTTGGAGAGGTTGTGAGGCTTCCGGAGGCGGTTGGACGGCACGGGCAACCACGGGGGGCAGCTGCAACCCTTGGTGTAGCCATGTATTTATAGGAGGTTCGGAGGCTAGGGTTTCGAAAGAATAATTCCACAGATGGAAAGGAATTATTCTTCCCTAATTTGGAGAGATTAATGTAATTAGGGATTTGATTTAAATCAAATCCTTAATTAGGGTAAGAATCGAATTATTGCTAATTAAATCAAATAATTCCCAATTAGGCCAAATAATCCTTAAATTGATTGGCTTAATTATTTGACCTAGGATCCGTAGATATTTTGCTTCCACACTAGCTACATTGTGCTCACTGATCAGTAATTTCACAGTCTACAAGCAACGATACAATGATGAGAGTATGAATCTTTTCCTGGGACGTTTGGTGAACATAATAAACTTTTTTTTTCTTTTTTCTTTCTGATAGAAGTTGTTGATGCTCTTTTTGGGAGGGTCAACTTAGGTAGAGAAGTCTTAGGTCTTCAGCAAGGAAGAAGGTGTGGACCTTCGGTAACTGAGGAACCTGCAAAAGACAATAGGGAGAAGCAGTTGTTAAGCTTCGGACACCGATGTGGTGCCTGCAGAAGGCTCTCCGATGCTTAAGTCAACTATTTGTGGTAATTTTGACAGAGTAACAATAAAGGTGAGAAAATAGTTACCCTTTTTGTCTTGGGAACTGTTCCATATTTATAGGGAGGTGAAAATGGAAGTCTTGCACAAAGTTTCGATGTGGGACTTTGTGCAAGTTGCTGTGGTGGTGACACGTGTCCCTGGAGACTAGGTTCAGAAGTCGGGAACTTCGGCAGGTGGTTGGCACCTTGGAAGAGTGTCTTCCTTCGGCATGTTGGAAGGTGCTGATGTCAGTCACTTTCTAGGGATTTGTCTACCTTGGTGCTAGTCGCTTTGATGCTGGATATGCTCGGTTAATTATGGTATAAACAGAAGCAATATTAATAAAAAGGGGAATCGAACTTAATACCTTATGTGTGCAAAGAAATACTCTTAACTATTTTACCTATAATTAAACCCCTTGCACAACAGGCTTCTTTTCATCAGGGGACCACCAACAGTTGATAGTAGTGTCTCTTTTCAATTTGCATGCAGCAAATAAAAGCTGGCCACTCATCCATTAAATAAAGGAGATGAAGATCCTCAGGATATTCCCTACCTTTCATTATGAAGATTTCGATCGTATCGAGCAAAAAGAGATCCTCATTTCCTCATCCTTGATATGAATGTTGACAGATTAATGAATCGTAATTCAAGTTTTTAACAAGGGTTTTTTTTAATCACGAGTAATCCACTTGTGCTTTTTCAAACAAATCATTTCCGGTCTTAGTCTTTCAAGTCGATCAATATCATCTCCACCTAATGTTGCACATCAATGTCGTTTTCGACTTCAATTCCTGTGGGTGGGATAGTCATGTCAAGATGAGTTTGCCTTATAAAAGTAACGTGACCAATTTTGATATGAAAAATTAGACGGAATTTTGATGTCGAGGATGACATTGAAACACGGCATATATATTATTAATGAGGTTGCATGAAGATCTTCACCTCATTAGAGCCCCATAGCATGCTGATCCAAGGCAAAGAAGTTGACCTACGAAATTGGGCTGGAAAGGGGTTGTAGCCAAAATGTGTTTGTCTTTAAGCTCATATTCCTCATATGCGGTGTAAGTTGCACTTTTGTTCACATCAAAGTCATTTTCCACTTTTCTGTCCAAAAAAAGAAGTCATTTTCCAATTTGATGATAGACGGTGGTTGCTTTCAAAAATGAAGAAAAAGAATGTTTTACCTTTTTTTACCACTAATTTAGAATTCCACCAAATATCTAACGTAAGGAAGCTACTCTCTTTTTGCATAATTGGAGACTGGAGTGCGACCTTTTCACAAAGAGACTGAAACGTAGTAATCTACTGAAAGGCCCATATCCTACTCAAAGTGAATCACTTCATTTGTCATATACACTTCAGATAAAGACTACACTGCTCAAAGAATAAGACAGATAAATGATTGAGGTGTAGAGAGAGAGAGGGAGAGAAAATATATATTAAAATTTAAGAAATATTCACTTTCGGTCCATGTAGTTTGTTAGGATTTTCTATTTTGGTTTGTGTGATTTCAATTTGGCGCAATTTAATTCTTGTAATTTAATATTCATCGCGATTTAATAACACGTCCAGCATCCAGTCAAAATACCATTCCATGTGAGCAATGATGGACTTACAGAGGCACAAGGAGGTGATGCACCTCCTCTCGCCTGAGCAAGCATTGCAAGTGTCGAAAAGTTGCCCCTTCGCTCAGTCGGCTGCGCATTCCACTTGTTCAACAAAAATTCTCCAACAAACGTCTATTTTTTTTTAAATTCCTAGCCAAAACGACATCATTTTGGACCAAAAAATAAAAGAAAAAAGATTTGTAATGTAGATGGAAAGAAAAAAAAAAGGACGAAACTCCTTTAATAAGGAGAGTTCCCTAAAAAGTTCCTTTTTGAGATATTCTTTCCGTCCCCACCACACCGATCGAAGTCCTTGTAAAAAGATCATCAAATTCATAATTTTTTTTAACGTCTAGTCAGTTTTTTTCCTCTTTTTGTTGTTGTTGTTGTTGTTGTTGTTGTTGAGATAATTCATTCCTTTATAAAAACTGAT